ATGCCACTTTTAATAAAATTGAGAACATTTAACACTCTGTTTGGATTATTAAGAGATGGTATTAGTCGATAATGCAAATTTTAGTCCCTTGGGGAAAATGAATAATTTTAATACATTCAATAATTGATCTAGAAAAGGAAATGAATAGAGTACAATAGCCAGTTGGGTGCAATTCCCAGTTGTATTGCAAAATGTCACATTTTCGCCGAGGCCAATTAACTAATATCGTGTTGTTGTTTTTTTTTCTTTAAGGCAATTCATTTTGACCTCCATGGGCAATCTTAACTCCCGGGTGTATTACCATTATTACTATTCTCGAATTCGATATAAAATGCAAGGTCACTATTTAACTGATTTCTAGCATTTCAAAATACTGCCATAATATACGAGTAGGTATATATTTTTTTAGGTAGTAATATTAATAAAAGAAATTTTAAAATGTGGAGACCCCCCCCCCCCCTCCCCGAACACGCTTGACCTCGTTTCTGCGTTAGCAGAACGGCAGAAGCGCAAACGTAGAACAAATTGAAAATAGAGATTTTATGCAAAATAAGACAAAAAATAGACGAGACGGTGGGAACATCGCTCACATAATACTATGTTTTCATGTCACGCAGAAGTCACAATTTTTTTACCGACAAATCGATGATCTCAGTTGCATTACCAGAGAGATCTCGTATTAAAATTCAGATGAAATGATGTCGAATGAAAATGTATTTTACTTACCGCCGAACTGTTCCTGGAAGTAAATTTCAGCTTTTGTGAATGTGCACACCAGAAGCGCGACAAGGAGAAGTAAAAACTTCATTTTTTTCTGTGTTTCTGGAGATTCTCTGTACGGAAAACCTGCACCAAAATAAGGGAAACACTAAGCCCAGTGCCTATATAGTTGTAGTACACGTGAAGCGGCTAGCCAAATGGCTACATCTGATTGGGTAAATCACTGAGGGTCATTAGAGCCAACCAATCAGCGCCGACCACGCGTCGAGGCAGCTTATAACAGCGCCCGCCACCGATTACCTCTGGTGAGTCATTTTGAACATTTGCATAAGTAATTAGCATAAACAAAACAGAACACATGCAGAGCCTTTCGACAAGATTATTTCTTTATGGTTTCAGACCAATCTCAATTTGTTTTTGAAGTCAGGTACGTATAGTCAAACTTGAAGTAGTTTGCTTTGCGGTGGTTTTTTCAGTACTTTCGGACACAGAGGACTGTGTTTCGGACGACAAGCTAAATTGATGGTATCTAAACTCCAGCATTCATCCAATCACAAAGCTACACCGATCAGATTAAACATTAGGAAAACAACCAATGCAGGATACGTTTACATTGGAACTCAGTGAACTATAGAAAACACGTCATTTCCGTCGTTTATCGCCGTATGAACTCAAGAATTCAACTAAATATAGTTCTCTTTGTATCTCGGAAGAAAAGTTAATTTAATGAAATACAAATAATAATAATGTTGTTAAAATATCAATGCACCGTGGTATCACTGTCAAACTACGTAAGAGCTTTCCATTCCATATTTTTATCGGGTTTACTCAATGTAGCATAAAGATATATTGTTACCTATTCCCGATAGTTCTTTATTTTCAAAGTTGTTGTTTTTATAGCATTTTCTATTTTATAATAAAAAATATTATTCGAACATACTAATTTAATTGATATACTTCTGTGTTACAGAAAACTGGTTCCACGAGCCAGCATAATCTCTGGGGTGGAGCTACGTCACAGAACGTTGTGCGTTGCTATGACGCACACCGCTGTACCGTGTATTTCTACGAGCTCTGCGCAATCAAGTACTGTGGAACGCCGGTCGAATAGCCGGTGAAAACAGCTAAACTCAACTTTGAAGTAATGCTGAGCAACCAAATTTATATATGTTGCACATGTAGGAGTAATCTTGTTACACTGTTGAGGAGAATCTCAGCAACTATCCCAAAATACAGTTTTCTGGCTTTTTTTTCACTGTGCTTGTTTCCAGGCGGTGGAAATTCCTGGACGTCCGCCCGAGAATAGTGCAAAATTGTTTACAAACGGGCGATTTTTATCAAAACGTCAAATAAATCGACAGAACAGAGTTGTATTCATAATAATGACGTTAGTAGTATTTTTTTTCACTGCAGTTTCTAAAGAAGCGCTATAAAGCACGAAAACAAAAAAAGAGTAGAATGTGATATGACCTTCTAGTATCCAGCCAATCACGAACTTACACCAGTCCGGTTAAAAATACTCTAATGAATAAAAACACCACAAAGACTCGCGCTTGTCGGGAACACGTTGTTGCCGTCACTCCTTGCCAGTTTCGCGTTCTAAATAATTAACAGATCATATACAGGTCATTAACGTATACAAAAACAATGGACAGCATTTTGAATTTCTGAAATATGCAGCTGTGACAACGCGATTTTTCTCTGTGTAGCGACAGGAACTGTGGTGTAGCATTGTCACCATCGTCATGGTTGGGAAGGACTCAGTTGAGTTATTGACATGGCAATTAAAAAAATATATAGTTATATGTAGGTATTTCTATTTTTAAATCCAGTGTATCCATGTACCCGCATCGTAGTAGTTGGGACAATCGTGTGGGAAATGTAGTTGAAAGCGTTCCCGTCAGGATGAAGAAATAGTTTTTTTTGTGCGGAACCGAGCTGCCGCGATGAAGTGTGAATTATTTTCGTATTTATAACAAATAACTGTATCAAATTTGAAATGGTGCACATCGTGAAAACAACAGAGTCGGTCGCGTAGGGATCGAAGTGACAGCTGGGACTCGCGCACATGCCGGTGTGATGTGAGTGAGCACCTGATGCTGCCGCGACCAGGCAACATATCGGCACACAATCAACATGTGTGAATATATATCTTAATGGAAGAGAATGGAAGTTGCTACTTACAAGACATTGAAACGAAAGGAAAATTATTCTGTACATTTACTAGGTACTCTCGAATTATTCATAACAACACCATGTAGTAATTGAACAACATACATAAACCACATTTAATACCATTAAAATGCATGGTGACATAAATAGTAAACCCCGGCTACATCCGTCTTTCTGGTGACAGGTCACGACTATCATGATGACCAATATTGCATTAACTACACAGGGAAACTTGTTTGACGTCGAGGACTGATTTTCAAAATTTTCAAAAGTGGGCGTAATCATTGGAATGTATAGGTATATTAGTATTACCACAGTAACCGAAAATGGAAATCGTATTTATTTATTGTTATAACGCCCCAGGGAAAAGTACCATATGTTGGTGTGTCACGCGGTATATACATAGTAATTCAATAAAGGGAGACATAATAATGATATGGGATAAGTGGTGTACATTATGGCTGGATTAAAGTACTAGTACTTGACGCGCGGACACAACCACTCGCTTAGATTCATCCGGTAGGTTCAGTCAGTGTGCAACTTTGAATATACGGTGATTGACTGCTGTGACGGTCATGGTTATCTCGTGTTCCAATTATTGACTCTGATATTGCCTCTGAGACCATCACACAGTACATGTTGCAAACTTGTATTCAATTATTTGCAAGAAAGATATCTTTGTGGTGGAAATCATGAGACGAAAATTCAAGATAAACTTCTGTGATTCAAGTTCATCAAATTATCGCCATACGACGGACACTTTCTCATAAATTGGTCCCACAGAGAATTTTCGGAAAGGTGGTGGGAATTTCCGAGCGACAAGTAAGCACCTCCATGACCATCGTGATACGAGTGTACACATGTAGTTTTTTAAAAGGCATCACCCTATCCCTAGATATACTTTCATTTAATTTTGTTTGTATACTTTTGTTGCTTATTTTTCATCAATTTCAAATATGTAATTTGATGTCACTTTGAAAAGATGTGTGGTGATAGTGATTACGTATACTGAGTTTCTGTTTTGCGATCCAACAACATTTTGTATGCGTACCACGACATATTGATTCCAGCGTTACGAGACTGTATACACGTACTTGCCTAAACATAAATATATATTTTGCCAGTTACCTCCATACCCCTATACGTACAATTCAAATCGTTAATGCTACTGTAACAAATGTAAAATCCTTTGCAGTTACTTTTTCTCAAAGGGGACTCCACGTTGCGGTATTTCTTATACGTGTTATCACTTTCGAAAGACAACGGTGTGATCCAGTGATGATGGATCAATTCATTGAACGGAAACCACAAACTGAGCCATGTTTTATGTATTCAATTTTATGTATTTTGTCAGCGAATTATTTCTATCACGCACCAATAAACTGAATTTGACAGATGTGTAAAATATGTCTTGTCATGTTTATATGACATGACACAACACGACAAAATACTAGTATATATAATTTATTCATTCAGGATACTTAGGCCACATTAAGTACACATACACTGGCATAAATACACACAAAAATGCATTGCGTCTTTTTGAGACTTAAGGTAGAAGCCTAGTCATAATTTTTGACAAAATTGGTCATAAATCATATGACATAGTTCATTAGTCTATTATGTATAATCATGAAGCATGATACAATGAAATAGCATTATTTTGTGTGTTACAGTTAAGCTTTTTGAGAAACGTGTCCCAATATTTCTTGAAAATTGCTATTTTTTGAACAATTCCATACATCACAATTGCATTTTTTGACACTTTTTAAAACCCAGATTTTTTAAATGTATAAGAACAACAAAAAGAACTCCATCATTAACAATATATGATTGGTTCAGCCTATGTCACCAGGTTAGATTTTGAGAAATTGCATAATATCTCTGCCATAGGAACCTGTGGTAAAAATGTTATAATAGTGTAAAAATGGCGAATTTACACTTAAATACAACCATCAATTTCTCGAAAAAAGGGTGGCGACCCTCAATTTTTTTTAGGTCATTATCCTTATATTGCCTTGGAGTACAATTTATTGCAAAATAAATAAATTCCGGGTTTTTTAATTTATGAGTAGGCTTCTACCTTAATACAGCATGTGTGAACAGATCAGAACAACTTGTCAGCTTTTGCAGTACGTTTCATAAATATATGCTAAACATATTTTGACAATCTCGTAATACATTTACGTTGAAAGAGTTCATTAATGAAATAAACTTATCTGAAGTTGGGAGATTAGATATCGCGGTTGTAATTTATAGAACGGACGTTCATTAGACCGGTATCACAAAAAGTACAAATTCTCTCACACCGGGGAATATAAAGCGTTCTGTCAGATTGAATATGCTTGCCAAGTTATGTGTCGATATTCTAAAGCTGAATTCAACTGTGACAAAACAAGACCCGCCCAAATATAGTTTTAAATTTTGAATCGGGTTCCAATTTAGATGATTTGTTTAGTTTACCTTCCGCGAGTCACGTGACAATGACTGAATTTATTTATAATCATTTCAATCACGGTTACTATTTTAGTAACCGTGTTTCAATGTAATTTCCATCATGAAAGCCCCAAAGCTCAGAGCCATATGACAACACCGGTAGTATATTGAAGACAAAAATAGTGAAATCTCGCTTAATTTCTATATCCCCAAATTTTGAAATGCAATATTTGACAGAAAAAGAGAGCCGTTATTAATATTTCACAAGTTCTTTAGAGATGGTTCGTGTCAGAACTGGAAAATACTAATTTTAAATAATAATACCTTGAGAGAATGTCAAGTTCGTGGCAATGGTAAAACCATTATTCCCCAATTTACGAAAGACAATGACCTTCCGTTTGTTTCAGAAATATTATAACGAATTCAGGATAGAGTTATTAGGTGCATACCTACGTTCAAATGTTTTGTTTGTTTTTTTCATGTGAAACCGATTTATCGTTTTCGCCGTTTATACACTCACATAATGTATACAAGTCCAGCGCACACGAGCAGTTTCATGCTCAATGAATCACCAAGGTCGTTTTCAAATAACAA